CGAGGAGGAGGAGGAGGAGGACGACGAGGAGGATGTGGGCAGGAGAAGGATGTTCAGGACCACCGCTCGGCTTCGGGGGGTTCAGGGCACTCGGCGCGCCCACGCCGAGGCAACAGCAGCACCATGCTGCCGAGTGCGACATCCGCTCGGCCCTCGAGGGGCCCTGCCGCAGACAGAGGGACGGACAGGAGAAGGGGGAGGAGTGGGAGGCAGGGGAGGAGGAGTCCTACTCCTTGCTCCCCTTCCCGTTCCTCTCCCCCTCCCTCTACCTCTCCCTCTCCCTCTCCCTCCCTCCCTCCCTCCCTCCCTCACCCCCCCCTTCCCAGGCAAGGTGCTCCTCGTCCCCGGCGAAGTACGAGGCGTACAGGTTCTCGGGCTCGAGCTCGTACACCTGGAGCCGCGCGCGGCGGCGGCGGGCCCGTCTCCCCTCGCGGCCTGCGCCCTTTTTGTCCGCCCCTGCCCCAGCGCCTCCACCTCCTCTTCCTCCTCCATGCTCCGCCTCCTCCTCTTCCTCCTCCTCCTCCTCCTCCTCCTCCATCTCATCCCATACCACTCGGATGCCAGCGGCGCAAGCTCGAGTCTGCCGACGCGTCCTTCCAAATGCATGGCCTTTGCTCCCAAGCGCCTCTGTGGACAGGCTCCCGAGGGCAGAACCAGATTCACGGCCTCGCGGGCCAGGCCCCTGAGCCGCGACCCCGTGGAAACGGGGAATTTCTCAGCGGATACCCCGCGCGGAACGTACATGCGACCACGAGTCCACAAGATCGCGCCCTGGAATCCAAACCGCGAGGGCGTGGATACGGATATGCTCGCCGCTCGCGGGAGGGGGGTGCTCAAGTCGTCCCAAGAACATCCCCAATCCGGTCGTAGAGGGAGGAGGCCGCTTCCTAGAAGGCCTCCTCGAACTCGGTCCCCGAACGCCTCCTCGAGCCCCCCTCTTGATTTTCGATTCTCAACAACCTCCTCGAAGACCGAGACGGCTTTTGTTGGTGGCCTGGAGCCGGGCCCGAACTATCCCAAAGACGGCCCGGATGTGCCCCCCCCCACCCCCCAGATTGCTCAAAGGAGCACATGTTGGCCGTCAGAGGACCCCCTAAGACAGCCAAAAAGGACCCTGAGACGGACTGCCTCCCCCAAACGGAGGAGGGGCCAGCGGGAGAGTACGGCGGCGAGGAAAGCGGATAGGATGGAAGGGCGGCGGAGAGGATGGAGAAGGGATGGTGGGGATGGGGCTGAGAGGAGGCCAAAGGATGGCTCAGGAGGAGGACAAGGGAAGAGGGACGCAACCTCCCCCCCCCTCCTCCGCCTCCTCCTCCTCCTCGTCCTCCTCCTCCTCCTCTTCCTCCTCCTCCTCCTCTCCCCTCTCCCTCTCCCTCTCCTCCTCGATACCCAGCTCGATCCGTCCTCCATCTCTTGCTCGCCACCACCCTTCTACGCCCTCGCCCTCGTCGTCTTCGGCGTGCTCCACGCAGCGCCTCGGTCAGAAGCTGCCAGGCCATGTCAATGGCCTCTTCCTTGAAGTAGTCCGCAGGCTCGCGGCCATCGAGGCCTGGATGCCAGCATGTGAGGACATTCCTGGTCAGTCACCCGACTCCTCCTCCTCCTCCTCCTCCTCCTCCTTCTCATGCCTCCTCCCGCTTCATCCTCTTGATCCTCCCTCCGCCTGCTCCTCCTCCTTCTCCTCCTCCTCCTCCTCCTCCATTCCGTCATCTATTTTGAAATAACTCCTCCATGTCGCACCCTGGGGCCGGTCGGCAGGCAGGCTGGGCGTTTCACATGAGACTTCCTGACATGTTGGGGCCTGAAGCTTGAGGACTGACAACATTTTCACGCATGGAGGGCGGACCGCTTCCAACATGTGGCTTTCGCTTTAGAAACGCGGGCATGTGCCTTCACAAGTTGCCGGAGTTTCACGGATTGATGGCGGCTCGTTTTCAAAATGTGGCTCTCGCCTTCGCGCCGCGCACAGTCGTTTCAAACAAATGCCAGAGCTTCAAGGATTGAGGACGGGTGGTTTTTGAACATGTGGCTCTCGCCTGAGGACCGCGCACATCCGTCTTAAATTATTGCAGCGAGTTTCACGGATTGACGGCGGGTCGTTTTCAAACTGTGCCTCTCACCCAAGCGCCGCGTATATTCGTTTGAACATGTGTAAGAATTGCACGGATTGAGGGCTGCTTCTTTTCAAAATGTGGCTCTCGCATTAGCGCCGCGCGCAGTCGCTTCAAACAGTTGCACAAAGTTTCACTGAGTCGCATGGCTAACGTACCAGAAATTACGTGCTGGTGCGATTCAGGATTGCCAGGGCGTACCAGTCATGTTGATTCGTAATGCACTCTGGTGCGATTCATGACAGTACCAAAAACGGTACTCTGGCGCGATCGAACCAGGACCGCTAAGACGCAACAGTCAGGTTGACTGGTGGCGTTGAAGACCTGATTCTAGTGCTGTGCCACGCTTCAAGATTTTCGTACGGGTGTCCCCCAACGGGGCACTTGCGTCAGTGGAAATGAACCCTTGTAGGTGACGATGAATAGGCAGCATGGAGCGAGGGTCCAACAGCGTTGATGAGTCTTGGGTTTGCTCTGGTCCTCCTCCTCCCACTCCTCCTCCTTCCCCTCTTCCGCCTCCGCCGATTCCTCCTCCTTCTCCTCCTCCTCCTCCTCCTTCCTCCTCCCCTCCTCCTCCTCCTCCTCCTCCCCCTCCCACTCCCCTCCCCCTCCCCCTCCCCCTCCCCCTCCCCTCCCCTCCCCCTCCCCCCCTCCCCCTCCCATCCTCCTCCTCCCCTCCTCCCCTCCGCCTCCTCCTCCTCCTCTCTCCTCTCCTCCTCTTCCTCCTCCTCCCCTACTCCTCCTCCTCCTCCTCCTCTCCTCTCCTCCCTCCTCCTCTCCTCCCTCCTCCTCCTCCTCTCCTCCTCCTCTCCTCCGCCTCCTCCTCCTCCTTCTCCTCTTCCTTCCTCCTCCTCCTCCTCCTCCTCCTCCTCCTCCTCCTCTCGCCCTCCTCCTCTTCCGCCTTCTCCTCCTCATCCCCCTCCCCCTCCCCCTGTCTTCTCGTGGTCCCCCCCCTCCCCGCCCCTCTCGGCAAGGCCCGCCGCCGTCTGCACCCTCCCTCCCCCGAGGCCATGCTCGGAGGGCGGGGCGGGGGGCGCGGCGGTGGAGGCGCGAGCCCCGCGGCTCGCCGAAGCTCCAGTTCCCGAGCATCTCGAAGAACGGTGGTTTAGCCGCGGGCCCCCCCCTCTGGGGGGCCGAGGCGCGCTCGGGGGCCGAGGCGCGCGCCCGGGGGCCGAGGCGCGGTCAGGGCGAGGCGAACGCGATGGGCCCGTTCCCACCACCACCCATGAGTTGGAGGGGGAGGGGGTCCTCCTCCTCCTCTCCTCCTCCTCCTCCCCTCCTCCTCCTCCTCCTCCTCCTCCTCCTTCCCTCCCCTCCTCCTCATCCCCCCTCCCTCCTCATCTTGTCCTCCCCTCCTCCCCCTCGTCCTCCTCCCCTCTCCTCCTCCCTCTCCTCCTCCTCTCCTCCCTCCCTCCTCCTCCTCCTCCTCCTCCTCCTCCTCCTCCCCCCCTCCAACTCATGGTGGTGGTGGTGGTGGTGGAAAACAAGCCCTTCAACACCGGGCAAGGATGCATCGGGGATCTCTGAGACAAGCAAGCTCTGGAGGATGTATCGGGGCACCGCGGTGTTCTTGAGCGCTCTGAGAGCGTTCCAGAGCGCTCTGGAACAGATCGCTCCTTGTCCCAGCCCCGCACGGGAGAGGCAGTCCGAGCTCAACCCGGAACATTAATGGCGGCACCAGTCGCCGACTTGGTGGGACTTTCGGCGGGACAAGGAGTTCGGTGTCTACCGCGGAGATGCACGATGATAGGGAGGCACGCTCGAGGAGAGGGGGCTCTCCCCCAGACTGTGGTACGGGACACACTGCGGCAGTGCCAGGGGGGGGGCACTGAGGAGGGCAGCGTTACGCTATGGCGAGGGGGATGGCAGGGGGCGGGTTGGGGGCATAACATTAAGTCGGGCGTGTCCCCCTACATGGGGATTCTGGACGAACAATCAAAAATAGTTACAACATACACTAAAATACTCAAAAATGGTGAAGAAATATTCCCTGGACTATTTTTTGACTAATTTTGAGCATTCCTCCTGTAGAGGGACAGGCCCGATTGAAAACATCACGCGCGTCATGATGCAGAAGGTAACAGAAACACTCGCCAGGGCACCCCGAAGAGGGCACCCCGGCGGCGTGCCGCCGTGGAGGCACGGCGCCAGGCCGCCGCGGAGGTGCGCCCGCAGGGGGCAAACCCGCGAAGGGCCACCACGCGGCGTCCGCGGAGGGGTCCTCGTCGAAGCCATCCTTCGCCGCCGTCGCCACCCGCAACGCCGCTTCAGCCTGCTCGTGCCACCGCTGAGACTCGACGTGTTTCTCCTCCGCAATCGCGACTGCTTCACGATGACGGACGACCACCCCCAGGGGCGCGACGGTCTGTCAGACAAGCCCAGGACGAGGACAACATCGGGTGGGGATGAATTAAGGAGCTCCCTGATCTGGCGGCCCTGACGGATATCTCGGGCGCCGAGGCCTCCTCCTCAGAGCGTGCTGCGACGCTCGGAGAGCGTGCCGGAACGCCATGGAAGGGATTTATCCGCGTCCTGGCCCCGTCCGACCAAGAGGTCTCGACCCACTTCTCGAGACTGGTGCTTCATCCTGCATCGTTTTTTGGTCCCGAGGCCTGGTCGAGGCCCCAATAAGGACCCAAACATGTGCAATTGTGCGTGCCGCCGTTGCGAGCATCGCCATCGGTAGATCGATCTCCTCAGGGGGCTACGGAGCGTGTGACGGGTATGCCGAAACGGGGCGGGGCCGCCATGCAGGCGCTGCCACTGGGGCCTGCTGGCGCTGCTGCTGCTGCTGGGGCCACGAAGCATGTGAGAGGTGTGCCGAAATCGGTGGCGGGGCCGACATCGAATTCACGATGGGGCCACGACACGTGTGCGGACTGTGCCAGAATGGGGCGTGCCCGCCATGCGAACCATGCCACTGGAGCCTTCGATGGAGCTCCCTATGGGTCCACGAAACGAGCGAGGGGAGGGCCGAAATGAGGCGGGGCCATCATGCAAACCCTGCCAATGGGGCCTTCGGTGGGGCTCCCCATGGGGCCACGAAGCGTGCGAGGGGAGTACAGTGCCGAAATGGGGCGGGGCTGCCATACGAACCCTACCCCTGGGGCCTTGGGCGGAGCTCCCGATGGGGCCGCGAAACGTGTGAGGGGTGCGCCGATGCGTGCATGCGGTGGGCGGGGAGGGCGCATGCGGACGCGGCTACTGGGGCCTTCAGTGGAGCTCCCGATGGGGCCACCAAACATTTGAGGGGTGTGCTGATGCGTGCACGCGGTGGGCGGGGAGGGCGCATGCTGACGCGGCCACTGGAGCCTTCGGTGGAGATCCCTATCGGGCCACGAACCGTGTGAGGGGTGTGCCGAAATTGGCATGCGGTGGGCGGGGAGGGCGCATGCGGACGCGGCAAACGGGGCTTTCCTTGGAGCTCCCTATCGGGCCACGAACCGTGTGAGGGGTGTGCTGAAATGGGCACGCGGTGGGCGGGGAGGACGCATGCGGACGCGGCCACTGGGGCCTTCGGTGGAGCTCCCCATGGGGCCACGAACCGTGTGAGGGGTGTGCTGAAATGGACATGCGGAGAGCAGAGGCAAGGAGGGGGAGGAGGGGGAGGGGGAGGAGGACGAGGAGGAGAAGAGAATGCGGAGGGCAGAGGCAAGGAGGGGGAGGAGGGAGGAGGGGGAGGAGGAGAGGAGGAAGGAACGCGAGGCGCTGTCTCTTCAAAACGAGGACCCAACACCACAGGATGGTTGGGAAATATCAAAGAAAACGTCCGTCGTGATTGTTCCATACCTCCAGAGGGTCTGGGAACGCTCTGGAACGGATTTATTCTCGACCCCAGGAGTTCAGCAGGGACCGACCGTCTCGGCATTCCTACAGGCCTAGCACGACATGTTCTTAGAACCCAAACATGTTCTGAACACAAAAGGTTCTTAGATCATGAGAGCCCGATGTGGTAAAACAAGACAGCCCCATCCAGAAATGTTCTAAGAGCATTTCCAGGAGACCACAAGAGGTTCTCTTAGAACATTCTTTGGTAGGCATATAGGCGAGCCTGGACGCTTAACGACTTCTGCCGTCCTCCGACTCGCGCTGGAGCGGCCGCGAATTGCTCCAACTCTCCCTGGAGATCTCTGGATTTACCGAGAGGTATCCCGATGTGCCTGGACTTACCTTGATGTGCCTGGATTGGTCGCATCTACCTGGACTCATCTGGCTCGGTCCCCACGAGTCGATTGGTGAAACGTCGACAACCCCCTGAGGGAAGAACAACCCCAAAGGGGGGCCGCGGCGGGCACCCCGCGCAGGGCCGCCGGGCTACGTCGCGGCCGACGTCGTCCAGGTCGTTGTGCTTGCCGCCCGCCCGGATGCACTTCTGGCTGTTGGCCGCGCGCCGGACGCCCTGCAGCGGGCTCGACCTCGGAGGGGCCCGCCTCCGCTGCTCTGCGCCCCCCCCGGCTGCTCTGCGCCCTCCAGCCTCCAGCCTCCAGCCTCCTCCTCCTCCTCCTCCTCCTCTCTCCAACCATTCTCTCTCCGCCCCCCCCGCCCCCCCCCGCCCCCCCCCGTCCTCCTCTCCCGCCTCCCTCCTCGTCAAACAAACCTCCCCCTCCTCCTCCTCCCCCCCCTCACTCCTCCTCCCTCCTCCTCCTTCCTCCTCCTCCTCCTCATCCTCCGTCAGGCTCCTCCCTCCTACTCTCCTCCTCCTCCTCCTCCTCCTCCTCTCCTCCTCCTCTCCTCCTCCTCCTCCTCCTCCTCCTCCTCCTCCTCCTCCTCCCCTCCTCCTCCCTGCCTCTCCTCCTCTCCTCCTCCGCCTCTCCTCCTCTCCTCATTCCGTCCAGCCTTCTCCTCCATCCTCCTCCTCCTCCTCCTCCTCTCCTCCTCTCCTCCTCCTCCTCCTCCTCCCTCCTCCTCCTCCTCCTCCTCCTCCTCCTCCTCCTCCTCCTCCTCTCCTCTCCTCCTCCTCCTCCTTCCATCCGCCTCCTCCTCCTCTTCCCTCTTCCTCCTCCTCTTCCGTCCCCTCCCCCGCCCGGCCCCCTTCCTTCTCCCCGCCCAGCCGCGGGAAGGGCGCCCCCCCACCCCCTGGCTCTCCGAGGTCGGCCCTGCCCGGACGTCCAGAGAATCCGCCACACCCGCCAGCGAGGCCCTCGAACCCACATGCCAGGACGCGCAGGTGCGGCACGCCGACGGCCAAAAGCGCGGCGTCCGAGATCTGCCCGCGGGGCCGGATGCCTTAAGGGCGTCCATCGGCCCTCGCCCCTCATCACCTCCCCCCTCCCCCTGCCTCCTCGCCTAGAGTGAAGACAAGACTGCGGAACATCATCTTTCGGAGCTCCGCGAGGCGTCCGAGATCCGCACGCATGGCCGGACGCCTTGAGCGACCATCTGCCCTCGC